ACACATCCTTACACTTTGAACCATAAGATTTTTCACTATACTTTTCAATAGTTTAAAGATTAAGAGAAATAATTTCAAAAATTCATAGTGCAAAGTACAAATTTATGCAAAAGTATAGGGTAAAATGAAACATTTCACTTTCCCACCTTCAGACTTTCTTCATAATTTCACACTGATTCTTCATTTTTTAATTATAACAATTAAATTATCAAATTTCAACTCGTGTTTTAATATAATTCTCTTGTTGCTTGTTATTAAAATTTTGAATGCAAAATGGATGAGCACCCTTTGGCGGCATTTGAGGAAAAAACTATATGATAAATTATTCTCTCTTTTTTTCACTCAAATTTCACTTTGATTTCTCATATTTTAAGTTTCATTCAAATTTCAAATAGTAGGATGACAAGAGGAACTAAAATAAGTTTGGGTGAAATGTATATTTTACCCTTAATAGTTAGTACAATTATACTTGTAATCCTTATAATTTATTTCTTATGTAAATTCGATCTTTATAGTTTTAATTATATCAATTTTACTTTTGTATTTTTCATGTTGTGTGTCACATTGATAATAAATTAGACTGAAAATGGGGGATTTGGGCCCCGCGCGGGGAGGGGGTGGTGGTTGAAGTTTATTCATCGTTTTTTAAGTAATTAAATAGTTAACGTCCAATTTGAAATATTCTATTTTCTTCATCGTTTTTTAAGTAATTAAATAGTTAACGTCCAATTTGAAATATTCTATTTTCTTTTGATTTTTGTTCAATTTGTTTACACATATTATCAATTGAATTAAATTAGCATAGTACAAAATATTAGAAAACAAAAATTAGTATAACTAATATTACAGAGATCAAATTAATGTAAGAGACAAATTACAAAGACTAATTTTCCCTTCAAATCATATATTATATTCTATAATTTTGTGAAAGTTGCGCTTCGCCCTTCGTAAAACAAAAAGCTGTCCTTTACAACCCATAGTTCTGTCAAAGTAACACTTGGCCCTTGTAAATAAAAGGTTGCACTTTATGAGGGAAAATGTCTCGTAACTCAAATTTTGTGGCTCAAAAGTGGCTCAAATGGCCAAAACGACGTCGTTTTTTTATGTTGTTCTGTACTCAAAACGACGTCGTTTTGGCCATTTGAGCCACTTTTGAGTCACAAAATTTGAGCTACGTAGCATTGTCGTTATGAAATATATATATTTTGGCAAATATGTCATATTTGTATTATATATTTATCGGTGTATGTGTATTGCATATACAAAATATGTATTTAAATTTTTTTTTAATTTTTGACATATCCAGACGTATCTAGTATAATATTTTTTTTCTACTACAGATATAAAATTCCTTTTTATTAGATTTCTTTTTTATTTTTAATTTTATGATTAACATGATTTTAAAATTAAGTTATGATTTGTAAGTTATTTAATATAATGATATTTAATTTTTATTTATACATTAACTTTTGACATAAATGTTAATTGTGTATTGAATCTTAGCAAATTAAACCATTTAATCAATTTTTAAATTATTCTAAATTAAAAATAAACATTTTTTTACAAACTTATTAAGCCGTATCCGTACCCTAAATTTTTAGATTTTACCGTGTCAACATACCTGTATTCATACAAATACCAATACTTGTGCCGTGCTTCATAGGTTGCAATTTACCTTATATTTCTTCGTAAGTTGTATGTTGTGCAAGGGTGCAATTTGTAACTATTGCAAAATTATTGATTGCAAAGTATTACTATTAACTTTAGGCCAAGTGCAACTTCATTATCAAAGTTATAAGATGCAAATTATAAGATACAAAGTGCCAACTTGAACTCTTATAAGTGCAAATTATATAATGGAAGTGTCTAGGTCAATAAATTGGAGAAAAAATTTTTTGTATTTGGAAAGATAGTTAGGTTTTTTTTTGTGATTGGATGTGATGTTTGTGAGAGAAAAAATGAAATGATTATGGGATTTGATGTGATATTTTGTTTGGATTTTTTTTTTTTTTGTAACTAATTTTTTTTTTAGTAAAAAAAAAAAAAAAACCCTAAAAACTAACTTTCCGAACACCCCCATTATAGCTCGTGGACCTTTAACCAAGAAAAATTCAAATTTGAATTTTTCACTTGAATGCTCTTTTGTTTTTCACCGATAATTTTTTTTTTTTTTATTATTTTTTTGGGTAAGAATGAAACACAAGTTTCGACTCTAATTCCCAATTGAAGAAGAAAATATTTTTGTTTGGACGGACTGGATAACGTAGGATTGTAATTCACCGGACTGTTAGTTCTGAAATATATTGTCCCCAGACTATTTGGTTGCACTGGATTTATATCCTATGTTTGTTTAGTCATGATATTAGATATCTGGATTGAACTATTCCATTGAATCCTATATTTGTTTGAGATATTATGGAGAATGATAAATACTCAAAAGACTATTTTACCCTTTTAAATTATTTACTAAATAATAGGAATATTAAATCTGTATTATAGATTTTATTTTATTTTTTTACTAGAACTTTTAAAAAATTAAATAAATAGAATATAATATAAATTATAGAAATTTATTTTAATTTGTAGTTGAGATTTTTAAATTTTATTTTACTTTACTAAGTATAATTAATACCATATTATTAAAATAAATAATTTAATTTAATAAACTATAAATAAACTAATAAATAAATTTTATTAAGTATAAATAATTTAATAAATAAATTTTATTTTTAAAAAGATGTCAAAAATATAATTTCACTACCTAATTACATGGATTGTGTCCCATCCCCCATGGAATAGAATAATTTCACCAGAAGTGATTGGTAGCTCGAAATCAAGGCCCCCGAATCCCCCCCGAATTAAAAAACGACGTCGTTTCATCGTTTTGAAATTTTTTTTTTTGTTCAATCAAAAAAGAAGAAGAAGAAGAAGAAAGAGGCAGAAGCAGAGGCGACGGCGGCCAGGCGGAGGCAGAGGCAGGGGCAGATGAGCTGCGACGATCGGCCGGGCGATCTGTGACGAGCTGCGACGATCGGCTGGGTGATCGGCGAAATGGAGGGGCCTCTCTCTCTCTATTTCCCTCTCTCATCCCCTCTCTTTTGCCTTTCCCCTCTTCAAATGTAAACGAGAGAACAAAAAAAAAAATAGGGAATTCGGGGAATGATTTTTCGGGGGAAAAATCATTTCTATAATTTCACTACCTATGGATTGTGTCCCACCCCCCATGGAACATAATAATCCCTTAGATTTGGGATTCATAGTCTGGATAGACTATTAGTGCGACACAAAAAATTTCAATCAAACAACGGATTATTAGTCCTATCCCATGCTTAAATCCTTTCAAACAAACACTACCTTAGAGGATTAAAGAACATAGACCAAGAAAAGAACAAAAAAACAACCACCAATTTATACTTTGGAAAAATGTGATTTGCACCATGATTATGCCAAGTAAGAAGAGACTATGAGAGTCGATAAGATTGGAATCAACATTTTGAAAATCGGATCGGTGAACGAATTGGAAGAAGGATCGGGTAAATGGGTCACCAGTTCAATCGTCGTATCGAAACGGTCGAACCATAAAGTCATAATTAATAATATATAATTAAAAATAAATAAATATATATATAATACTAAAACAAAAATAAAAATTGTTACATAATATTTACCAGTAATATTTAATAAAGTCATAATTGATATATAAAAAAATAAAAAAAATAAGTCACTAATTTTAAAGAAATTAAAAAAAAAATTAACATTCCCTCAAATTGATTGAATGTTAGATTTAATTTTGCAGGGAAATGAAATTTTTAACTCTTTCTTCAATTAAATATAATTCAAACAATTTAGGGCAAATTACAAACACCCCCCTCGAGGTTTGATAAAAATACAGATTCTCCCTTGAGATTTGAGAAATTACAAATTGCCCCCTGAGGGTCAAATTTTCATAACAAATTAGGGAAAATTAGGGGGGAATCTGTATGAAAATAAAAACTTCAGGGGGCAATTTATTATGAAAATATAAACCTCAAAGGGCGAGATGTAATTTCTCAAACCTCAGGAGAGAATCTGTATTTTCACCAAACCTCAAGGGAGGTGTTTGTAATTTGCCCAACAATTTAATTACATTTCACATAAGATTTTAAAGTTCTCTTTGAATAATCTTTTCCTATAAATAGAAATAAACTTTCATAATCTCTTCAAGCTTCCAATGAGACATTTCTTCATGAGAGGAGACTCTTGAAGTTAAAAATTTTAGTCAAAATTTATATTTATATATATAAGAAATAAAGAAAGAAAAAACGAAAAATAACCAAGGTTGATTCACTGGTTTTTCCAGTTCTTGGAAAGAAAGCCGGTTTTTGGCCTTAATCAATTTTTGTGGCTCATCTAGACCGGAATTAAGTCCGGTCACCGGTTCTACCAATTGAGCAGGCCAGTCCGGTCCATTTCTTTGAACATTGATTGGAATAGTGGAGAATTTTACTTGGGAGGAGACCAAGATTATGATAACTTGGGACTTTTTTAGCTATTTTAGTCACAAAAGACAAAATAGGTTATTTTAGTCACGAAAAATAAAATATTATATCCAACTCATAATCATTGCACTATTCTCTCACAAAAAAAATCAAAAAAGTCAAAAAGCTAAAAAGTTCTTCCCAAACCAAACTTTTTAGCCCAGGCTAAAATAACCAAAAAAAACTAAAAAACAAAAAAACCAACCCACTTCCCAAACCAACCCTGAGTGGGATGATTTTTTTTTTTTATGGTTTGATTTTTCATTTAAGCCGCTTTGAAAAATGTAGTGGTTTCTTTTATTAAAATTATTAAAACTTGATTCAACTTAAGCTAATTCAATTGACCAGAACTTTTATACTTCATCAACAATTCGGCCCTTCTCTTATACAATGTACCTAAAAGTGGTGTTGAATATGTACTAAACAATGGACAACGTGTTTCAAGTCATTTTGAGATACTTTGAAAGTCTAGACTTTGGATTGTAGTTATAAATTCTCTTTGAACATCTATTAAAACATCATAGCAAATCATTCAATCAGCAAAAGAATAATGGGAACACATCGGTTGTCAATTCCTACAAATTTGCATTTCCATGTAGCCAAACAGCTTCATGCAAAAATGTTGTAGACATCACAACAATAATTCTGTATAGAATTATACCAACTCACACAACCAAACATATGCCAAATCACCAGGAATTAATGGCAATTCATTTCAGCATAAAAATTCTGGCTCTCATCAGTTCTCACTGGAATAACCTACTTCATAACCAAACACACTGCTTTCTGATAACCTTTCTTACCATAAGCAATGAGAAGAATAGCTTTGTTCTACTCCTGTTTAGCATCAAAATCTTCATTGGGCCCACTTCAAAATTCAACTTTAAAGTTCAACCAGACATGAAAAATCCAAGAACCCTAAAAATAAAAAGGTCAATCAGCATCAGAAGCATGGACTTATGAGCTCAATTCACACACACAAAACAAAACAAAACATAGATAACTTACCTAATGCCATAGTAGATAATGAAGAAAGAAACTACAAAATATGCCGCGAGTTTACACATTTGCCGACTTGATTTCTTCTCAAAAACCTAAATCAGTCACAACACCATTAGATTCAATGGCCCGAACCATTAGCCAAAAGCTATAGAAACAAACCAATAACATAAATGAAGATAAAATGCTGAGCAGACCAAGCTTATTTACCATCTTGAACCGATCCATAGTTCCTGACATGATTCCCCTTGATGAATCCATCTCATTGCCCTGGTTTACAAGTGCATCCATTCAAAATACAACGTGAACTAATCTCTTCATTAAAAATTCTAATTATAATTTCACAACTGCAACCAACTTACCATCCGGTCCAGCATACGGTTATGGCTCTCTGCCTCCTCATGTATGTCACCTGTTAACTGTCAAGAGATTATGCGACAGCTTTAGAAAGACAACTTAGATTCAAATAGTCACAAGTTTCCGGACACAAGCATCCAGAAAAATTCTCAACTATTCGCATGAGCACGTAGAAGAACACAATATTTACATCATAGTTAATACATGCTAGGTTAGATATACACAAGAAAAATGCAAAACCTTCGTCCAAGTGTGGCATTTTTGGGCCCCAGCTCTCAGTATGTTAGCACTCCCCATAATTGTTCCTTGCACCAATATCTAGATTAATTCACACAACCATTGACCTTGCCAAATCTGGAGGATTGGCTACAATAACACTGATTTTCCTAAATTTCAGTATGAGAGCTAATCAAAAGGAAAATTAATTGAACAATTAATTGGCCACAAATAAGCCAAAGATACCTTGAACAATATCAAGCATATGTGTGCTTGCTGGAGAGGACAATAGCAATAAGAAATTGAATGGTAAAATGAAGACTTTTTCGTGAAACTCACTTTCTTTAAAAAGATGACTCTATCTTGCAGGCTGTCTATAGCTCTGTCATTGCTATGCTCATCAATCTCTCCAGAGTAAGAGGAAGAGGCCCGAATACCACCCTCCTCGATGCTATCATCAAAGAGTGCTGCTCTAGAGCCACGTTCCCTGCATACAGATTGGTCACACCATAACATAAGAGAACTATAAAAACAATAAATATAAGAGTAATGACATACAAACAGAAAATTCTTACAGAATTTCTGTACAAAATGATGTGGCTCGTTAAAGACTTTTCGCTTTAAAACAAAACACTGATAAAAAGGGTTTTTATTTACAAGAATGTTATTGCCACATTATTCTTATGACGGTTTTTGTATCATTTTTATGTATGAATAAAGTTTTCCTAAATATAAATTGGAAGTTTCCCACTGAACTAAAAGGGAAAATGCATAACTAAACAGAAACTTCCATACAAACAAACATGTGGTCTAAGAAGCATGAACACGGATACGCGACACGACACGACCGCGACATGGATACAACACTTACATGCCGATACATAAATTTTTTAAAAATGCAAGACATGACACGTGGGGGACAGGCAGGAAAAATATAAATTTTATATTGTTATTATATATTATATATATGAATATATCATTCAAAGATAATAAAAAATACAATACGACACTAATTCTTATAAATTTATATAGTTTTTGTTTTATTACTGTATCTTAAGTTGTTTTGTTCAAACTTATAATTAGTTTCACTTGTATCTAATCGATAGATACGTGTGTTTAAGTGATAGACACTTGTGTCCTTAAAGTATACAAAGAGTGTCCAGGTCTTTTAAAAAAAAAATTAAAAAATTAAAAAATAGGACATGTTTTGAAGAGTGTCGGACATGTGTTGGGGAAGTGTCCAAAGAGTGTCGGTGTCCGACACGGACAAGACACAGATACGTCACCTTCTTAGAAGTCTCCATGCTTCTTAGCATGTGGTATAATATAACTTTATATATTTATGGCATGGAAATTGATGATAAAATAAAAATGAAGAAACTAGCACACAAAGAGAGGCACTAGAGCTCAACATAATTTAAAAAGAACAAGAATTTTCCAACCCCCTCCAAAACAAATAAATAAAAGGAATCTGTGAATGGCATGTGGCATATGCCTCCATATGTTTAGTTACTGTGTCAATAGGTAAATCCATATCTAACTTGCCATAAGAAACAATAACTGGCTTTACTGTGACTATTCATGTGGACGATAATGCAAAACAAGATACACATACCTAGAATCGTTTAGATCTACAAAATCAATTAGTGAAAATTTCTTAAATTGTCTACACAGGAAAATAACAATTATATTAGTATTGGCTATGTTGTGACAAGAGTTATTTAAAACTCTCGTATAACATGTCAGCAAGTGTCAACATCAATAGTGCTTGACATGTAATAGTCCAACAAGGAGAGAAAGGACATGTCACATACATAAACTATTCTAAAAGGACAAAGTGCCTGTCTCACCTCACACCTGAGATTTAGTCATTTGGATCCCTAAGTGGGCTAGATGGGATGGGAGGAAATTGTGGGCAATCAGAAAAAGGGGGGTCTAATGACATGTGGGCTTTAAAATTACAGGCTATGTAATTGTGGATCATTGGTCTAAGTATCCTTTTTAATCAGACTAAAGGCGTTTGGCAAAAGCGAGCCCACAAGCACAATATCCTCACATCCCACAATTGATCCGATATACCTTTGTAAAATTTGGTAGCCAAAGTGCGCTCACACAACCAATTTGCAATTTTTAGATATTCTTCAATCTACTTTTCCCTGCTTTTCATATGGCTTCCATCATCTCTTTGTTTTCCATAACCAAATATAGTTACGCTTTTTTTTGGCAAGTGTTTTATTACTAGAATAGATAAAGATATACAACAAAGCTCAAGACATTCAAGAGCAGCCACCAAAGAAACATTTCCTAGAATAAGGTTTTTAATGTCTCTCTTTGGCATATCTAGAAAGACATTTAAGTAAGTTTTTGAAAAGTTAGACAACACTACTCAAGGGATCAGTTAAGGATATCACATTCTTCTACTCTGAAATCTATGACACCTTCCATTCAGACCGCATCATTGGCCCTAGACAAACTAAACTAACCAAATGATGCTATCCACCTACAAGTAAGATCAAGCTTAACAAAATGGGAGCTCCAAGGCTAATCCAGGAGCTGGCTATGGAGGCGTCAGTTCAAAGACGAGAGGTGCCTGGATGAGAGACTATTTTGGAAAGCTAGAAAATGCCACTAGTACAGAAGTTGAACTATAGGGAGTTCTATAGAAGACTCATCCTCATACTTGAGAGGGGCATGCATGATAATGATATTGAGAACTCTGAAATGTTAGCCAAATTCATCAAGAGTCCCCCCAGAAGTTTCCCACCACGCTCTTTGGTAGGCACGAAGTTTGTCACGCACATACTGAGGGAGGGCAACAAATGTGTAGACCTCCTTGCAAACATGGGAGTTAATAAACAAGAGCACATGGTTATAATTGAAGAGTACCCTCCAAAGCAAATCAAGAGGCTACTCATTGCAGACACGATAGACATGTCTTGCGAGAGTGCTTAAGGCCCTTGTTTGTTTTGTTTTGTTAAAAAAAAAAAAAAAAAAAAATTAGGAAAAAAACTACATAGTTTTGGTGGGGTTTGGTTTGGTTATTCATCTAGGTTTCTTTTTTATATTTCCCTCCAAAAGCTACAACCTACACTTCCTCGAGTAAATACCTACAAATGTGTATCATGCTTGCTTTGGCACTTTTGCAGCCAATGAGCAAACAAGCATATCAGCTTCCACTTAAGCATGTGAAGCACCACCGGCCTCATTTCACTTCATCGTCAGTAAATGATATTGCTATGGCTCCATGATATCCCATCACAACTAGTGACACACCAATAGGCCAATATTGCAGACCCATCAAGTATTGCTTGGTACACCATCATTGTTGCACGTCCTAAATAGCAGCAAACTGTAGTTACTGGTCACCTTGTGGTCCTAGTATTATTCAAAACCAAGTATAATGATCTTCCCTAAATACTCAACAAGTAAATTACTCAGTAAATTATTCAGTAAGATACTCAGTAAATTATTCCGTAAATTCCTAGTAAATTTTCAGTAAATTGTTCAGCAAATTCCCAGTAATTCTCAGTAAATTGACTAGTAAAAATTTACTGGGAATTTGCTGAACAATTTACTGAGAATTTACTAGGAATTTACGGAATAATTTACTGAGTATCTTACTGAGTCATTTACTCGGTAAATTACTATTTGGTTAGTTGATAATATCCAATGATTTACCACATGCCAAACAACAAACTCTGAATTTTGAGGCCAAGGTTTGAGCCTAGAGGGGGTTAATAGGTCAAACTCCAAAAAAGCCAAGGCCAATTTTAAAACTAACCAAGTGATTAATTAATTTTTAATCAACTCAATTACCTATGAATTCCTATTCAATCCATCCATCAAATAATCAATTAAACAATCAATTGAACCAACCTCATCAAAGTAGAAGCAATCAATCAAGAGAGAAGACTTAATGTGGAAAGTTTATAGAAGCCAAAGGGGAAAAATTATGATCCAACACCCAAATCAAATTCACTATAGAATCAAATAGTAACAAAACTATAGCTGAAGAACTACAACCCTTATCCAAGTTTACCTATACCATCGAGTCCTCCACAAGCTTCACCAACCTTTTGATCTCCACTGCAAAGTGACTTTGATAACGTCAACTTCCATTGATCCAACAGTTTCCATGAAGCTTTATGCTCAGATCTCCTTTCTTCAATGGCTCCATTACCCAACAATGATGGTGTAAAGGGACTGAAAGTGTTTGTGAGGGTTTTGGAAGTGAAATTCTCAACTAGGCCTCGTTTGGGAACATGCTTTTTAGTAATTTTTTGGCTTTTTGGCCAAAAAAAAAAAAAAAAAAAAAAAGAGTACATTTGAGATGACCTCTTGGTTTTTTACAAAAAGACGTGCCAAAAGTAGAGAGAAAAGAGAATTTTTGACTTTTTAGTATAAGTTATTGACTTTTTAGATTTTTTAGTGATTTTTTAACTTTTAAGTTAAAAAGTAATGTTGCCAAACGAGGCCTAAATGCAAAGAGAAGCCTACTTTACATTCTAGAGATCTAGATTGAATCAAAATTGAGGTGCATCTTCAAAGATGTGAGAGCGGATGATCGCAACCTTTATGGAGATAAAAATATATTTAAAATAGATCTATAACCATCACTCGCACGCTCTAAGTAATGAAATGATGAGCGCACCATGGTCTCGCCTATCAAGTGCACCTTACAAGATTTTCAGTGTTCAAACACCTATCAACCGCACCTTGAGGGTAATCCATAAAACAAATAAACAAAGTGATTTAGGTGCACAAATGATGGGTTGGTGCCTAAGTGACATGCATAACGTGTTGCGCAAGGGCTCAAAAATGGTTGTACACTTTAGGGTAATGGATCTAGAGGCTTGCACCAACATTAAAGCCAAGGCTTTCATGAGTCACGAGCATGAGCACCAACACTCTCTCATCTAAAACACCACCAAGCATAAAAACCCCAAAATACAAACCCCGGATGGGTTGCTCACCGTAAATTTCCAACCTAAGGATTCGTTTGGGAAGTGGCTTCTGACTAAAATATGAAATGAAAAAAAATTGAATTGTTTGGGAATGACTTTTTGGTTATTTACGAAAAAAACGTGCAAAAAGTAGAGAGAATAGGAAGGAATCTTTGATTTTTTTTTTTATATGATTTTTTGTCCCTTTTAGTCGACTTTTTGACTTTTAAGCTAAAATTTTTTCTTCCGAAAAGCAACCTAATCTATCCTAACAAACTTTACAAGGGAGCACAACACAAACTTCTCAGTGTCACCTATTCTCTCGGGTTGTGAAGAAGATTTCTCAATATTTCTTGCGGGTTGTGTGAGATTTAATTCCTTTTTAGTGCCTAGGGTTTGTTTTGTTTCGCTCCTAGTGTGACAGATCATTAACTAATTGCAATAACTGAAAAACCCTTCAACAGCAATGTATTATAAAACACAAAATAAAGATAAACAAAACCCTTCAACATTCACCAGAGTAGTCTCTACAAGATTTTAGCAAAATTAAGATCTTCAATTTCATTTATCATCTACAAGATCTAAGTACACATAACCAATAAATCCAGAAAATCAATCCCCAACAATATATATATATATATATATGTATGTAGACGAACCTGCGGTTGTTCATGGCTGAGACCATTCAGCAGATTCGTTCGTGTTCGTTTGTTGAGATTGGGATTGGAGTGAAGAGTGTCGGTGTGATTGTGTGAATCTCAAATGTAGCCAATTTTCCAATTGGAGATGCGAAGAAAATTGAGACTTCTTCGAAATTGAGTGCAGATCAAAGAAAATTGAATTGAGAATCTAATAATTAATTCAAGGAAGGTTGGGAAAGAGAAATAAATATTTACAATTTGGCGAAAACCACGGTGGTATGACATGTTCCGCGAAGAAGACTGGATAATTACGCTGTAAAGATAATTTTGTAAGTTGTAGCGAAAATATTTCAATTACACACAGGGGTTGTTTGAGCGTATTTTTTTATCAACAATGATTCGTCCCACTAAAAATATCATCACTAATAACATTAATGCATTAAAAAAGTAAAAAAAAAAAAATACAACTTCAAGACCAAAATATCACATCATTAATGGCGGGACCCACTATCACCTAATTAGTGGAAGCACTAATTAGTGCTCCCAAATATTTTTCTTTTTTTATTTTTATAAAAAGATTGTGAAAAATATAAAGATATGATATGATTTAAAAAAATAAAATAATAATTAAATATATTTTTGTATTGCTTCTCAAACACTCTCTTAAAACCCTTATATTTTGTAGTCAGTTTGGTTTTAGTTTTTAAAATTTATTTTTTTAAAAATTTTACTTTGGTGTGTTTGGTAACGTTTATGTTTTCAGTTTATATTTACAAAAATTTTATAAACTGATTTTTGTTTATTTTTTATTTATTTTTAGGAAAACATAAACTACAAACGCGTTTGGTAATTGACAAAATGTTTAAAAAAATTTTAAAATATAAAAAAAAGTGAGAAATGACAAGTGGCGGCGGAAGATGGTGGTGGAAAGTGGTGACGGTGGGTGGTGGGTAGCTGGTGGTGGTGGCGGGTGGGTGGTGGTCTGAGATTCTTCACCCTGTAAAGATTAAAAGAGTGCAATCGATTTTCATGAGAACAACATACAAGATACAATAAACATGACTCAAAAATTGCCAATTGATCATCTTAAGGCAATACTTTGTCGAATTGGAAAGGTTCAATGAAGATAGAGCAGTGGAAGAAAGAAGGCACTTCGGCCTAAATATTGAAAAGAGTTTATCCTAATCTTACTGGGAGTCTAAGATTAGCAGTAATCCTGAGTCCATAGAAGTTAGGCTTCTATTGGGACTAGGTTTATGTTGGCTATAAAAGAGAGGCACCCCCATGGGTCTAAGGTATGCTTTTGATACTCAAGCTTGTGAGTTTAGTACTTGATTTATCTTTGAGAGATATACTGACTTGATCATCGGAGTGCCCCCGGGTGGAAGAGCCACCGCCGAAGCCTTTTCTTTCTGTTGCAAGTTTGCTGAAACCATCTATTCTGCCAGTGCTCTCCAGCTGATTACTAGGCGGACAGTGTGGTCAGAAAATTACCCACACAATTTGGCGCCGTCTGTGGGAAACTTAGAAGAATAGATGGCCAGTGATGGACAGAGGGAAAACATTGGGGGTGACACTCCTACTGGGAGTGGCAGACCAATTGATCTTGACGTTGAAGGAGACAACCACAACACAGAAAATCATGACCAGGGCCACGGAGAAAAAAACGTCGGCTAGGAGGGCGACGCTTCGAAGAGGACAACCAAAGCAAGTATTATAATGAAGATAACCTTCAGGTATGGAGGGATAGGTGCCTACGGAGAGATGAGGAAGTAAAAGACTTGGCAAACAAGTTGGCAGACCTACAGTCAGTGGTCAACTTCATGATGCAAAACAATGTTATGCAGCCACCATATCCGCTGCAAGATACGCCGATGCCAGCAATTAATACCCAGAATGGAGGAAGGAAAGCAATCCCCGAAGCCCCTCAGCTAACCAGGAATGGAAGGCACTCTCACCGACCTTCCAGGGAAGTCGGATGAGAGGAGTCGAGGCAAGAAGAGTTCCGAAGGACACATCGCATAAAGAATCCAGGGCCCAAAGAACATCGGCATGTTCAAGGGCAAGCACTCTGCTTTGACACAACCCATGGAGAAAGATCGAAATGGGCCCACTACGAGGCCGAAAGTAGCGTGCCAAAAAGATTGAAGTCCAGAGATAGCCGAGCTCCAGGTAGGAGTAAAGAAGACTTGAGAGATTACCTCAAGAGGAGGCAACAGAATGTTGAAGCCGAGGTAACTTTCCCAGTTAAGCCGAGGACACCATTTTCGGTGGAACTAGACAAATTTGAAGCGCCGAAGAGATTCAGTATGTCGAGGTTCCAAATTTATGATGGTAAGTCAGATCCCAACTTTCATGTAGGACTATACCTGAATTCAATGGCGTTATATAGTGGGAATGAGCCACTGCTCTGCAAAGTATTCCCCTCATCCTTTGGGGAAATTGCATCTGATTGGTTCCATAAACTACCAAAGGCAAGCGTAAAAACATGGGAAGGCCTGGCCGAGATGTTTGTGGCCAGGTTTGTGACGAACAAACTACAGCCCTTGAGGGTCGACGCCCTGATGGCTTTAAGAATTACCAAGGAAGAAGGCCTTAGGGCCTACGCAAAGAGGTACTACGAGGTGTTCAATCGAATACCCGAATGCAACCAAGAAGTGACGGTCGTGTCTTTCAAGAATGACCTGAAAGATGATTGCCCACTACGGAAATCTTTGGCAAAAACATTGCCAAAAAGCATGGAAGAACTCATGGCGAGAATCGAGAAGTACGCCAGAGCCGAAGAGGATACGTCGGGAAACAAAGAGATAAAGCAGGAGAAGGGAAACGGCTCGCTGAAGCGAGGCCGAGGTACCAACGGGCCGACCAAACAAGAAACAGAATTGAAGGGTAAACAGGCAGTGACGACGGTGTTTCGAATCCCTATCCATAAAGTCCTAGATCAAATACGAAACCAACCCTATTTCAGGACACCAACAAGAGCACCAGGGGAATTTATGGGAAGAAACGTTGGTAGGCGCTGTGCTTACCACAATGAAGAAGGACACCCAATTCAGGGTTGCAGAGCCTTAAAAGTACACTTAGAAGACCTGGTAAGACAAGGCCTTCTGAGGAACCTGGTTGATGAAGCCAGGACAAGAGAAAAACAAGCAAGATTGCCTTAAGCACCTGCAGCCCCGCCTCCCCCAGCACAACAACCACAGGCAGGAGGACTACGGATGGTTAATGTCATCCACTCAAAGGTGAACGAAAACAACATTCGGGGAGAAACGCAAAGAGTAAAACACCTGCAGCACGTGAACCAGGTCGGATACAAAAGACCTCGGCCTGAAGAATGCCAAGGACCGATGATAACTTTCACTAAAGCCGACCTAGAGATGGTCCAGCATCTGCATAATGATGCCTTGGTAGTATCCCTCCAGGTTGGGGAGTGCCAAGTAAAATGCATCCTAATAGATCAAGGCAGCTCTTGTGACATCATGTACGTCAGATGTTACAAGGAGTTGGGCCTTCATCCTGACGACCTGGAACAATCCAGCAACCCTATGGTTGGCTTCAATGGAACGCCGACATGGCCACTGGGCGCAGCAAGCGTGGAAGTAAAAGCTGGTACTAAGAAGATCAAGACAGAATTTATGGTGATTGACACACCCTCGCCATATAACATCATCTTGGGAAGACCATGGTTGCATGCAATGGGGGTAGTTCCCTCAACATTGCATCAACTACTACGGTTCCCAACAGAGCATGGGATTGAAGAAGTCAAAGGAGATCAACTGCAGGCAAAAAATTACTCCATGGAAGCAATGAAGTCTACTTGCAGCATTCGAGAGCCAAAAGAGGCAGAGATTGAAGACGAGGACATGGAGGTCCTGGATGATGTCGGCAAGGAGCCAACCGAAAAGAGTGAAGAGACATTAAAGAAAATCCGTATCCAGGAGGGCGACGAAGAACGCTTCTTTCTTCTCGGCTCAGGCTTAGCCAAAGAAGAGGAAAGAGAACTCGAAGATTTTTTGAGAGCCAACATTGAGGTGTTCGCCTGGACACCATACGAAATGCCTGGCATTGACCCCGAGGTCACTTGTCACAGATTGAATGTCGACAGGTCAGCAAAACCTGTGATTCAATGAGCCAGAAGACCGACGTTGATGCACGTCGAAGCAGTAGAAGAAGAAGTAGACAAACTTCTGGAGGCCAGGGCCATCCAAGAAGTTCACTACCCGACATGGCTGTCCAACACAGTAGTAGTAAAGAAGAAGAACGGCAAATGGAGGGTCTGTGTAACAACCCTCACACTGTTTACCGATTAATGACTGAATGATTACCGATAAACACTGATTACCGTCAAACTGAACTGATCATGACTGATAATTGAACTGAGTAAAAGTACTGAACTGACTGACCGAAATTGAAACTGAATTGAATGAATACACCTGTTTGAATTGCATTTTATCTATTGACTGTTTGTTTGATCTGTTCATGTCTTGTGTTTAAACTGCTCATTGAAGGCCTTATCGGCAGCCGAACTGGGAATGGATTAATGTTTTATGATCCTCATAATTAATGTGATTTTATGGTATTTTTATCTGAAAACTGATTAGGTATGCTTAAATTAGATTAAAATAAGCTGATTGGTCAAGTAGGACTTATTTACCAAACTAGCCTTGTAGTGGCCCACTACCTCAAAGCTTTTGAGGCTTATTACACTTAGTGCATTTGATTAAAACAACATTTCCATCAGCTCTTTCCCTTCTTCTTGCTCAACCGACCAAGATAGAGAGTGAGAGAGAATTGAGTTGATCTTGAGTTCTACTTTGTGAATTGCTTGGAGAGATTGAAGAATTGATGTATAGACTCCATAATTGAACTCCTAATCTTGCATTGGAGACCTAAGGTAGAGTAATCACCCTCTTGCTTATCTTTTTCTTGCATGATTCATGATAAAGTTGAGGATTGAGCCATGTTTTAGTTCATACATGTTGATATAGAGCATAATTCATGCATGCATGTTTGAATTGATGAGTTTTGAGTTGAATTCATGGTAAAATAGTGCATGCATGTTCATAATTTTGTAATGGTCCATGTTTTCAACTTGTTTTTGGATCAATTGGCTCCTTAGAGCATCAAATTGGAACTTCAGAGCATCAAATTGGAACTTCAAAATGATTTGTTGGGCTTTGATTTCTCAAATTGAGCTTTGAATCAGGTTATTCCATGTGTTTACAAGTGTTTTTCCAGAAATTAGCCCAAGAGGATTGAAAATTATGCATTTAAACTTGGTTTTGGCTTGGAGGTGCAATCTGGGTTTTCCAGATTTCGCACTTCCGCTCGAGCGGGGG